TTAGCATGTTCGGCGATCGCATTCATTAACTGTGGACGGCTTGAGTGGCAACGCGGCGGTTGGAGTAACCGAATTTTTTCTTTCCTCAATATGGTATACCACTAACATGATAATATTTCAAGCTATCTAAACAGGATAAGTAGCAACCATGTATCAATATATTGCATGGGTATATAAATCTCTCGAATTGTTGACCGAGGAAATTTACTCAAGCACGTCGTATAGGTGTAAAATAAGAACCGTCTCCATCATGGATATTGCTTTCAGGCAGTTGAAAAATCGTACGATGAGGTATTTTCCAGTTAACAACACCTTAATACTTCATATTGATCCAATAGTGAAAAGCTCGGCGAATACCATCCTGCCGACGAAAGGTCGACCGAAGACTCTGTCGAATAACACTACTTTTAAAATTAGTGTAGGCAGTTCTTCGTAGTTTTTCCCTAGCCCGCGCATATACTTAACCGTTACCTTTGCTTTTAATAAAGTCACCCAGAAGAACAACAAAGTAATTTGATCGGTGTACTGTAAAGTACCAATTTAAAAGGGTAAGGGCGTAAGTAGACAGACATAAATGACCATTTGCTATCTAAGTGTCGTCACCAGGAAGCCGTAGTTGGAAACCAGGGTAGGGGAAGTCAAGTGCTGCTAACAGTTAAGTCCACAAATTGCCAGTTTAGCTACAACTTTGCGCTATGTCGGCCGCAATGGAGAGTGGCCAAATTGACTCATTGGTGGCGCTCACCTCTCTTCCCTGATCAAACATTGGTGTCCCTTTTTATCTGAAAGCTCGATCCTAACATCTTTGCAGATGGCCGCATATCAAAAACGACCGGAAACTTCAAAGACTTGCTCACATGATCTAGGGGTTACTATGTCCAAACACACGCTAAGGGCTAACAGCAGTAGCATATCATAGAAGTCCACAACAAAATCCATATGAGGTGACTTAGTTATATATTTTAATTAAATTCAAAGATACATATGATTAGATGCCTGTTTCAGCAAATTAATATAACTCGCCTAGAAAACACTTAATTTTCCATATGCCTCCCTTTGTTCGCTAAGCTACGTTTCAGTACATTAAACTTTACCTTAAAAAGTTGCTTGTAATTTCAAGAATTAGTCCACTAGGATCTTAAACTATAAGTCTGGACTCTCCTCGGAAAACCTTAAGGTTATATATAGGAAGATAAAAATCTGCAAGGAACTTTACTCAACATTGGAAGTGACATCAAAAGTCCCACTTTTTCTCTGTACAAATGTGATGTGAGGAAGAAGACAAACCCCATACTCATCATTATTACGACGCTTCAGACTTTGGAGATCGCGTAGAATTTGGTCGACATAAACTTTAAAAGAAGACTGTTTGCAAGTTCGCATAAATGGGATCAACCAGTGTATTTGTGGAAAAACCCACTCTAAACTGGACTGAGGATTATAATTTCGTTTTTAAGCTAACTGAGAGGGTGCTGATTCCTCAGAAGAGTCAATCCAAGCGGCTCAAGTGAACATTTGTGCAACAGTTCACTTCGGAGCTCAGTGTGCTGCATGCAATATTTCTATGTCCTTACGATTCTAATTTGATAAAATAAGCAGGCAGAACAGTTGGCCCGGAATGAATTTAGTTAAATCCGAACAACTGAGCAATTTAAGTTGGCAAACGTGCGTTTTTAATAATTCATTGTTAGGTATGCCTCGTAGAATGCGTGACGGTTTGGCCAGAAAACTAAAATCGCCGGAGTGGTAGGGTAAGGATGGCTGAAAGTTCTCCGGTTTCGCCAAAGAGGGTGGAGGGATTATGATCTAGTTTCAACTTCAAAGAACAGGGGGCGGGTATTGTTGTCGCAATGACTATCCACGATCTGACTCGTGGCTTGTCTGCAGTGCGGTCTAAACGCGACGTATCCTGCGACGCAATCCTAAGATATTTCAGTCGCACCAGGTTGCCAGCTTTCGGATGGGTCTCCTTTGGCCATCTGCAAAGACTACACTGTGTGAAAACTGACTACCTACGTTGTATGCATTTTTCCCTTCTGAATTCAATCATGTCTCATGTAAAACATGCTCAATATGTTCTTTGTCGTGCAAATTTTGTAGTAAACTGCGTCCTCAAATTTTGGGTCAGATGCGACTATGTAGCCGCACATGAGGGAAACACACCGCGGCCACGTGCGATACGGGACCGGTAGTAATAGGGGTTTTTACGGATTGGACCGGGGAACATACAACCTACGGGGTCAAGTAATTGTATGCAAAAGAAAAGCTATTGGGAATGCGCGGTTGTACGCTGAGTGCGCAAGAAACAGTTGTCATTACCCCTAACCCTAACCCCTAACTCTAATCCATAACCCTAACTGTAAGCCCTAACCCTGGTGTGCAGCCCTAAACCCTAACGCTGAAACACCCAGAGGGAAAGTTAGAAAAAGACGACAGGCTGAAATTCAAGAAGGATCACCGGCATTGGGCCGAAAAAGGTAGACATGGCAACAAAGAAACAAGACCGCCAGCAGAGCACACATGGCAACGCACAGCAACACCGTGCTAACGTAATCGCACTAACTCAAAATAATTAAGTCGGTCATCAGTATTGTGTGCATCATTTGCGGTTACATAACCACAGCTTACCAAATTTTCTACTTAAAGAGGGAGTATCCTCTGACTTTTAAAAACGTTGCCGACTCCCGCATAATCTTTTTGCTCCACCCGCCGGTGTACTTTCGCCCAGGGCTTCTAAACTACATTTTTTATATATTTTGTCAGAGGAATATCACATTTCTCTCTACGCCGTCAGAAGAACGTCATGTAGGACTCATAAAATTGTGCAGTAGTTATGGACCGGGTTGTATACTTTTTTAGAGGCGTAGATAAACGTGCTGAGGAGATGCTGTATGGATGGACATTTCATGGTCTTGAAAAAATTTCATAATTAGAAACTTTTCTAAAGCCAATGACACTCTCAACTCAAGCATGAAATTTGAAGAAGACACAAGTTGCTACCAAATGAGTACAAGAGAGAATATTTTGTGCAACTTTTCCCTATAATATGTTTGAATTTATAAGGGCATCTAAAAGCAATGGGAGAAAAAGTCATATCGCATTAGTAGGCATTTTTACAGAATGTAGTTTTTGCAGACAGGTGGAAGGAGGCTCGTTCAAAAGCCGGCATCCTGGCGTGACTAAAATATCTTGGTATTGTGCTGCGCGATAATCAACATTACAGGTCTACCTAGTAATCATTTCGAATCGAAAACATACTTCGGAATTTCGGCCAACATTTAACAAGATAGCACATCTACTGTATGCAGACGACAGTACTACTAAGGATCAAACGACCCATCCCGTGTCGTAAAAAACTCGTGTTTCTCCAGGTCACAGGAAGTTGGTTTCAACAAGGTCAGATAGAGGAAAGTGGGTGAACAACTAAAGAAAAGAAGACATAGTCGGGCTCATTGGAAGTGGGGCTTGTTTGAGTCTCGAGACCGCAACGTGATGCAGGGAACAGCTTGGGCCTGGGTTGAAGTAAAAGTCCTTTTGCGAACACGACGTTTGATTGGCTAACCGCATGACCACCTCCTCTACTGTCGGAAGGATTCCTTGTCGCAGAAATCCGAAGGGTCCAGCCGTCATCCTGTAGATGCCTCGGACACGCTCTGCTTACCAACTTCGACGAGAACCTCCCCCCCCCCCCCCCCCCCGGCAGAGAAGCCGCCAATTCTGTAGTGCTGGGTGGAGCACTTTAGAAGGGTCTTTAGCCGCCTAACTGCAATCTCCGATGCTGTCATCGATTTCCCAAGTGGAGACGAACAATAACTCAGAACGCTCGCATTTCTCCCCGAAAGTCTTCGGCCCATGCACCAACGCGAAAGCTTCAGGAGCCGACAGAATCCAGACCGAAGCTTACGAGCGCGACGACCCTCAGCTGACGAACAAACTTTCAGTGATATTCCAGGTGTGACTTCCAGGACAGGCTCGTCAGGATTTCAGGACTGTGACTATCGTCTGTTTCTACAAGCGGAAATGGAACTGGCATCTCTGCGATAACAGCAGAGAAACCTCACCGATAGGCACTGCCGGGAAGATCTTCGTTCGCATCTTCCTCAACTGTCTCAAAGGCCATCTCGAACAGATACATCTGCCAGAAAGTCAGTGTAGCTTCCGGCGCCACCGCAGAACCACCGACATGAACTTCGTCGTATGCCAGCTGCAAGAGGAATATCAGGGGATGCGAGCCCAGCTCTACATTACCTTCACAGACCTGAAGGAAATCCTCGACACGCAGGATAACGATGGACGGAGGAAAATCATGTCAAAATTCCGCTGTCCTGAGTGATTCGCGCACATGGCGCCTTAACTCTACGACGGGATGATGGGGCGGGTCACGGACAACGAGCCGGTCTCAGAATCAGTTGCAGTAACTGACAGAGTTAAGCTCGCCCACTCACTCGCTCCCACACTCTTCAGCCTCATGTTTTCTGCCATGCTGATGTATGCCAACCATGACGAGCGCCCTGGGATCGCCATTACTCACAGGGGTGATGGCCAGCTTCTCAACGCCCGAAGAATACAAGAATCTGTACCGTCTGAGCAGTGAGAGTGTACTCAGAGCGCTACAATCATCAGGTCAAATCCCCAGTTGTTCAAAAAGACAGAAGTCACCAGATTGGACGGTTTATTGAGTTGTCTTCTCAGACGAGAGTGGCCACCGGAGAGGCCAGGGCTAGCGTTGACTGTGTCCAGTCATGCCTAAGAGTCCGTGAGACAGTGGAGGCAGCTGCTTTTGGAGGTTTGTGGGGCAATCTGAAGTGGTGTCCAATTGGTGTGTGCTGACTTGTCGAAGGGTGGTATGTTCAAGCGGCGCGTGGGCAGCTACGACTCTGTGGTCGTATGTGGATCCAAATTGAATTCAGTCGAATGGCTACAGGTCAGCGCATCTGGAACCGCTCGATGCAAAGGCGAATGACCTTGAGGCAATGAGACCTTGAACATGGAGGCCAGGCATGCCCATGATGGCTGTCGCCAACAACTCCTCGCGAACTTCAACAACCACTGCCTATGAACTCTTCTTCGCGGGTAATTGTGCCCTCAACACTGCGACAGAAGCAAACATGAAACGGAACATGAACCTCTTCGCCTCCGGCTGCGCTAGCTTCGGGCTGATCATCAACATGGACAAAACAGTAATCACGTATCAGCCGACATCCAACTCTAGATACAATGTTGCTTGCCTCTACGTCAACGGCATCCAGCTAGAAACAGTGGACAACTTCGCCTTTCTAGGCAGTATACTCTTCCATAGCGTAAAAGTAAACGATAATCTGGCTCACGCGATCTCTAAAGCCAGCCAGGCCTTCGGTCGGTCGTAGGACTTATTTTAGAAACATCACGGTCTCCACCCAATCACCAAACTCAATATATACATACAAAGCTGTCGTCTTAACCACGCTGTGTGGTGCGGAAACCTGGGCAGTCTACAAGAAACAAGTGCGGACACTTAATTTTTTCCACCTGGGTTGTCTCCGACTAGTTCTATCCCTGAGGTGACAGGACAGGATGTCAGGCACGGGAGTTTTGGAATAGACCGAAATACTCAGCATCTACACATTGCCGAGGCTGCTGCACTACAATGAAGCGGCCACCTCCTGACGATGGCCGACGAATGACTACCCGAACGACTCTTCTACGGAGATTTAGCTACGAGTGGTCGCCGACAAAGTCAACCCCTTCGCTAAAAGGATACCTTGATAAATTTTTTGAAGCGATCAAAAATCAGCCCGATGACTTGGAAAGACCTCGCCCTGTACCGATCGGCCTGAAGAAGGGCAATGGAGATTGCAGCAGCAATCTATATAGTCAACTGGATTGCAGCAACTGCCAAAGCCAGAGCATTAGATCACAAGTCTCAATCATCCCCGATTCACATCGCCAATATCCAACCTCTACCATCGTGCTCACGCTGCCTACAAACTTTCGCGTGCGGATGGGTCTCGCCGGACATCTCATGACGCAGTGCAAAAGCAACCCAATTGCTGCCTCCACAACCGCCCCCATTGTAATCCTGCACTAATTCCCCAGACATCCACCAAATCCATCGGTAGTGATCACATTTCCGATGCCCCGCCGCCGCCGACGATCACAGCCACCTCTGTCATCCCTGCCACAACAACGACTACTAGGTCTCCCACTATCGACACCGGTTAGAACACTCCCAGCATCTACATCAAATACTACCCTCAGCTTCACCACCCCCGCCACCAGCGAATGTGGAATGGGTCCCGATTTTTCCTAGTTGCGGTCGCCTCCTACATCGGCCTGGTTGGTCAATGGCGAATCCATCACACGGAGACTGGCAAACCAGTGGCTACAGCACCAACATACACTAGACGCCACCGCCTCACCTACTTACATTGTCCCCACACATTCAACCATCGTATAGGTGTATTCAGTCGCATGCGCCTCCTGCGGTAAATAACAGCAGACTAGAACACATCACCGCACACGTCCTCATCAACACTTGCACCACACATGAACGCCTCCGACTTCACACGATGTGGGCATCCCTCACGTACAGTAGGTGGGCTTACTCATAAGATGTCAACCGATATTCCGAAATGCGTTTTCGTTTCGAAAAGATTAATTAGATAGGGTTGTAAAACTAGTCAGCCTGCAACATAATTCTATAATATTTCAGTTACTTCAGGATGCCGGCTTTAGAAAGAACTTTCTTCCGGCTGCATGCAAAAACGCCACTCTGTAAAAAATGACTACTTAGGTAGCATGACTTTTACGCATTGATTTTCAATGCCCTTAAAATTCAATTATATTTTGAGGAAAACATGCATAAAAAGACGCATTCTTTTGCTCATTCGGTAGATAATTACGTCATCTTCCAATCTTATATCCGAGTGAAGGGTATACTTCGGAACTTTTCTAATTCTCGATTTATTTTGAACCCGCTCTACCGTTACGCTTGGACTCAGGGTCTCCAAACTACAAGTCGTATATTTTCCGCGTACGGAAAACTACACAGTGGCCATATAGAGTTTATAAAATTTAGCAGTAGATTTGATCCATATTGTTAACTTTACAAGCCACATTGGTAAATGCAGAGACATGACGATTTATGAACGGCCATCTCACGGTATTTAAAAGTCCCACAATTATAAACTTTTTTAAAACCGAATTATATCCCTCGTTCGAGTATAAAATTGAAATAAGACGTAATTATCTACCAAATGAGCAAAAGAATGAAAATTTGCATGCCTGTTTTCCATGAAATATAATTGAATCTTTAAGGGCATTATAAATCAATGCGTAAAAGTCATGCTACTTAAGTAGTCGTTTTTTACAGGGTGTGGTTTTGGCATGCAGCCGGAAGGAATTTCGCTCGAAAGCCGGCAACCTGTGGTAACTGAAATATTATAGAATTATGTTGCAGGCGGACTAGTCTTACAACCCTACTTGACTAATTTATTCGAAACGAAAACGCATTTCGGTTGACATTTCATGAGTTAGCCCACCTACTGTAAGTGAGGAGTGTGTTCGTCGGTGCCTTCTCCAGGTGGCTCCTCTACTGAGACCCCTAGCCCTTCGTAAAATCCTGGTGTGCACATGGGGGCACGCGCAGGCGGGTGATTCTTAGCTCTGCCAGCCACTTATTCCCATCGCAGCATCAGTTGGTTGACCTACTCGAACAGTCGACTGGTGAGCGGGAAGGGATTGGGCGAATGGATCCGATTCTCGCCGCATTTCCCTCCCTATAAACAGTCTGACGCGCCCAAGACCATCACGGTAAGCTAAAAGCTTGCCAACTGACAATTCAACTCGGACCTCTTAGTCAACCTGGTGTCTGCATACAGTGGTCAACTGGTGAACTGACTCAGGCTACAATGACTCCTTCTTCTCGTCGGGATCCGATCCGCTCCCCTTCTTGCTGTGTGAACTTCTGGCCGTGTATGCGTAGATCAGGCGGCGGTGCATGCCTAGGCGCTGGTTCACGCCGCGTCAGCCACCTGCGCCTTCTCCAACCTCTGGTCTTCATGACTCTCTCATGACAACGGGTTCAAGTGGCAGAGGGGAGAGTGCGGCGGGTGCGGCGAAAGTCACCGCAAAATAACTGACGCGCGATGCACCGGCCTTGCGCCCACCCCGTTGGGGAGGGCGAGGGGGAACACACAGTGGACATGGGTGGAACCAAAGATCAAACTGTCGCGTATCTGTGTGTCTGCGCGATCCTTTAACTACGCCTGTACATGTATGTGGCACGCGAAGACAGTGGACCTCATGCCACATCTGCCACTTTGTCCACTTTAGTTTCACTTGAATAACAAGTATGACAGTACCGTGCTAGCAGCAAGAAGCACCTGTGCATTTCATTACCCTTCCGAGGACATGCAATAAGTGGGCTAACTCATGAAATGTCAACCAAAATTCCCAAATGCGTTTTAGTTTCGAAAAGATTAATTAAGTAGGGTTGTAAAACCAATCATCATGCTGCGTAATTCCATAATAATTCAGTTACCTCAGGATGCCGGCTTTCAAACAAACTTCTTTTCGGCTGCATGCAGGAACTATATTCTGCAAAAAATGACTACTTACGTAGCATGCATTTTTCTCATTGATTTTCGATGCCCTTATAAAGCCAATTATATTTCATGGAAAACATGCATGAAAATATTCATTTTTCTACTCATTCAGTAGGAAAATACGCATATTTTCAATTTTACACTCGAAGGATGGGTAGAATTCGGTTTTAAAAAAGTTTCTAATTGTGAAATTTTTTAATACCGTGAAATGCCAGTTCATAAAACGTCGTGTCTCTGCATTTACTAATGTGGCTTGTAAAGTTAACAGCATGGCCCAAATCCACTGCCAAATTTTATGAATCCCATATGATCTCCTCTGAATACCGTAGAGAAGTTTACGGTTTCCCGTACGAGGAAAATATACGGCTTGTAGTTTGGAAACCCTGAATGCAAGTGTAACGGCAGATCGAGTTCAAAATTATCCCGGACTTGGAAAAGTTTTTTAAAAGAAAATTAAACCCTTTCTTCGAGTAGAAAATTGAAAGATGTAATTTCCTACCGAATGAGTAGAAAAATGAATATTTTCATGCATGTTTTCCATGAAATATAATTGGCTTTATAAGGGCATCGAAAATCAATATGACAAATGCATGCTACGTAAGTAGTCATTTTTGCAGAATGCAGTTCCTGCATGCAGCCGAAAAGAAGTTTGTTTGAAAGCCGGCATCCTGAGGTAACTGAATTATTATGGAATTACGCAGCATGATGATTGCTTTCACAACCCCCCTCAATTAATCTTTTCGAAACGAAAACGCATTTCGGAATTTTGGTTGACATTTCATGAGTTAGCCCACCTTCTGTACTTATTTAAACTACCAAGCAAGCAGCTCCACGACCTCTTTGCATATTTAAGTCAGTTATACATAGCTCTCCGCAGCATACAATACGATTGCCGGAGCAGCTAATGGCATGGACCCATCACAATCACCACGACTCCAGGCTACGTTTCATTTTGACGACAGACGTCTGTAGAAGGGGGAGTGTACTCCGTAAAGCATGTATCAAGCAGAGTAGGGACGTTGGTAGACGTGTGAGAAGCGCGCGTCCGCCCTCTGCGTCAAGCATGCATGGGATGTCAGTTATGTCAAAAAGGGCACCCCTGTACCGGACTTCACTGATCACCGATAGATACCAGCGATTGGTTGGCGAGAAAGACGAGGCAGCGCAAACATGCTTGCATAGAACGGCCGCGCCGCACTTGAGCTGGAAGCCAGGTCTAAAAAAGTGTGTCCCATTCGCAGTCACAGAGGCGAGGCGCTAGTTCCGCTGGAATTCAACCGAGCAACTACTTAAAACTCAGCAGAACCCGCGTGTGGGCTGTGTTTTTTACATTACACTCTTGTAAAGGACAGGCATTTTTTATTAGGTTTGTTTTAGTTTTTTTGTTAACGTCCCCCTGAGCGACATTCCGCTACCTTTGAAGCCACGGTGACTGAGCACGAATCGGACCCGCTGACGGCGGAACCACGCGTACCGGCACCCCGATCGAAGGAAGGATAAATCAGAGGAAGGCTTCCACACAGCTTCTGGTTCCCCACTCCGTTGTCTTCCCCCTCGCCCTTTGACCAACAACCCGTGACCCATACCCCCCCCCGACCCACTATTGACGATTCGGTTCTGATATTACCTGTTGAAGTCCGTGTGTTTGAGTGTTCGAGATCCGCATGCAAGGAAGTTCCGAAATGAATACGCCTACAACGACCTCTATCGACGATCAGCGTCAGTCACCCTCTAAGAACATCAATCCAGACGAGACTAAACCGTCAGGTAACCCGAATATTACACTGTCGCCTGGTCGATTACCTTTATCTGCTGTACCCGCATAAGCGACAGGAAAACTCAGCCTCCATCGTCAGTCAGTAGGGGCCAGTTTCGAAAATCACAACAAGCAGGTAAAGAAGGCGCTGTTTTGGGGGTTTATGAGCCGCACGGTGGAATGAGCATCTGGTTCGGACAACCTTCCGAAGATTTGGGGAGAACATGAGGCGAAACAGACCACTGCGATGACTGCATGTCGCCATCAGATGACTAGTAATTTAGTGGCCAAAACAACGTAATACTGGTCCAGGAGGAATGTAAACATGATCACTACCAGTTGCCGATCCCCAAGAAGGTGCTTGCCAAAATGCCCCAGCTGACCCAGGCCAATGAGGTTGGATGTCAATTAAAAGTGACAAAAGACGGGAAAGTAGGAGGGCGAACATGTTGGTTAAGGCCTGTAATAAAGAATGCGCTGCTAAGAGGAGCCGCGGGCCTTCGACAAACTGAGCAGTCTCCCTTGTCTTTGTCGGTAATGCCATTCTGCTTATACCGTGCGCCGCTGTGCGGCTGCTGGTTGGGCACCAGAGAGAGCCCGTAAGGCACAACGGAAGGAGTGATATCCATAAGAACGATCGGTGAGCGCCCCCTACCATGGAGCAAAATTTCCTTGGCTGCTTTCCCTCAGGGGATGCCCCAAAGAACCTCTAACCTGAGCACATTGTATGCCAAAGTGTTGAATCTTTGATGTTTCAGAGGCATTTGTGAGATGTGGACGAAAGCTACAGTTATCTGGTATCCTGTACAGCTGTCGCTGTCACAAATGAAGGTTCACCTGTAGAATCCTACAAAAAATCCAATGAGGGTGATGCGGCTTGCACCGGTTTGGTAAAGATGGCCTCTAAAGCCTTTACGTAAATAGTGTCAGTTCATTTTCAAACTCGCGTGTGACGCTGACGAGGGTGTGGGGGATAACACGGATGACATCTTGCCAGCCCTTTCCGCCAAGGCGAGATTTCGAACAATACACAAGTCCGTCGTCCATGTGTAAGCTGTAAGTATATTCAGGAGGTATGGTGATGATAAGAAAACAACAAACAACGTTCCCGAAAGCGAGGTCGAATTCGTTACACCCCAGCCTGACCGACGCGGGAGAACTGTGTAACTTAATTTGAACACACCTACTGATAACAAGCAAGTACGTCAACAATGTTGACTCATAATGACACGCTACGAACTGCGATCTTACTGTCCAAAGAGTTAGCGCTAGCTATCCAAACTACTTGCGCGATAAACAGACAACTCTGACAAATCACTTAGGGTACCTTTGGGTTTGATGCCGCACGTGACATCCTGCAAAACGACGTGAGTAGCACTCAGGTTTTGCAGGCCTCCAAATCACAGGACAGAGTATCTTCTCTGACTGGGGAAATAAGTCACCGCCTTAAGTAGTGCCAGTGACAGCGACGATCGCAATGTTACGTGGAGTACACTGATGGTCGGCAGCGCCGTGGCCATTACTTCGTTTGAAAAAAAAGACTGCGTCGAAGTAATTTGAAAATTCAAGAAAAATACTAGTTGCCCTGAATTTGATATGTCGTTTAACAAGGCTGGGTAAAAATACGATAGGCGGAAACCTAAACGTGCAATCTTTGAGTGGTTGTCTTGGACGGACATTGTTCAATCCTGATGTGTTGGCTAGAGTTCGGTTCTCCGATCGATACGGCATCACCTATCAGTCGGTCGAGTCTAAATTTGAAGCATCCCGAACCATTTTCATTCCTTCTACGTTAAAGGTGCTCAGAATAAATGGACCGCCCAGATCATAATGTTAATTCAAAGTGTTAATCAGCCTAGACAAGCTAGACGAAAAAACGGTAGGCTGAAGGGCGGACGCAACTGAAAGACGTGCAGATAAAAGACATTGCAAGAAGATTAATATGTATTTGCGGGTAAAAACGAATGCATCCAGAGGAAACAAGAGACAAATTTCACCACAAATAAGTAAGGAGGCACGTCGAACTGATATCCAACGCACAGATTAAGGGAACGCAAGATGTAGAAAATGCAGTCAGTCCTTTCTGTCTGGCACTTCTAGCGAAGAAGGAGGGAAGGGGTGACACGAGCAAAGCATCTAATGTCGTCCAGTATCCAGCTTAACCTGGGATCTTCCCATGGCGACTGTCATTTGATTTCGCATCCACGACCTTATCCCCAATTGCATCAGACAAATCTGCACAAAGTAATGTCAATCAGAGCAAACAAGGTAAAGCCAATACCTTCTACGAGCCGGTGATAAGCAAAGTGCAGATACATGACAAATCCCATGTGCAGGACGACAGACATAACGGACGCCACGATGCGCTCCTTTTCTCCTGGAATAAAGGCCCATAAGGTTGATGCCTAGAGAATGGAAAATTATACAGATATGCATAATACCTTACTTTAAACAACAAATCGAGTACGTGTTAGAATAGGTTAAAATTGGCAAGAAAACGCATAAATAGGGAGGAAAACGGACTTCACAAGTCCTGTGTATGATTCTGTGCGCTAAGACCTCCCTCAAGTGAATGGCAAAGTCACATGCCGCATGCTAAATCAAACGTGACAAAACACCGGTACATCGCTGCCTTGTTCAATGCAGGGGACAAAATCAACTTTTCAGCGTCATGACGGGGTAGGAATGCTGTCAAACAAGACGCCACGTGGAAAACTTGACTGCTGGGCTGGGCATGGGAAGAAGTACCCACGAAACTACATTCCTGTATAGAGCCTATTTACTTTGTTTAAATAGGATGGCATTAGTAGTAATAAATGAGGCCTACTGCCGCTAACAGCGCCTCCTTCCGTCTGATCGGAGTCTAGTCGGCCGCGTTGATCCCTGCTACCTTTACTTACACTTATACAACGCTTCCAACAAGCTTCATAGTAGAGTCAGTTTCGTGTTGTCACTAAGAAGGTTGCTGGAAAACGTTCGTCTTTCTATCCTTATGTCGTCTGCTGCTAATCCAATTAATGGCTCCGAGCTGTAAACCGTGGGCACTATTGCCGACAACGTCGGAAGAACCGTAAGTAGTCCTTGGGGAACAGTGGCGTCCACTGCGTCAACTCCGTCCCTAGACTTCTTTCTACTCCAGTGAACTGCGTCAGGACCGTCGTTGTGCCCATGCATTTCAACTTTCGTCATGAGCCCCTGCTAGATCGGTCGATTTTCTGCTGATGGATAACAAAATCAGACGGCGAGTACCAGTGAGCCTTTAGTCTTCCGTTGACCTTTTTATAGTCACTCATCAGGTCGCGGGAGAACGCTCACTGTCTCTTCCGGGTCGTCGCCAACGTCGACATCCAATCGTCCTTCTTTTATTTCCTTCTATTATTTCAATTAGCAACTTTATGCCCTAAACGGTGAGACCTGCAGTTTCTGCATACGCTTTACCTTACCATTTCCGCTGATTATCCGGTCTTCAGTCAGCTTTCTGTCAGTCAGCCATTCGGTTGTGCGGAAACGTTGTCGCAGGCATCTCCAGTGGGTTGCTCCGTACGCCAACTAACCTGTGGAGCAAGCAACGCCATGCCGGGCTACGTATACATCCGGGTTTTCTATATTCACGCCAAACGATTATCTCGTGTAGCCATGAACCTAGCGATCTCCAGTACGACCAGGGCTAGTGAGTAGGCCTGCTAGCTTCGCGCAAAAACATCTACCGTTGAGTGAGTATGCTTATCCAACCACAGACGGCGCTTGCGTCGTATTCACGATATCAATCCTTTCTAATAACCTCAGACACGCCAATGAGTTCCGCAGTCGGGGAATGCAAGTAGTCCTATCCGTCGTTTAAGTAATTTACTCAGCTACCTAAATTACGTAGGTAGACACCAGGTAGGAATCTAATTCAGTGGTGCTAGTTCGCGTGCCGTACCGACAGCCGTAACAGTGATCGAAACCTTTGTCATAACAAGTCGCTTTTGCTCAGATCCCTTCGTGG